GCACAAAGAAGGGGGCAGGAAATGGAGTTACAGCGGTGCAAAGTTACTATATTTTTCTGGAATTAAGCCAATAGATATACACCCAATTCTAATACATCTCCGTCCAAAGCCTAGGCTCTCTCTGCCACACCAGACCCTGCCCATTACATCGTGGGTTCCTTCCTGTACCACCAGACTCCGTTCCTAGAGGGAATAAAGCCCAGAAGTGGACAGACATTGAGTTCATGGAGAATTGATGGTCTGTCTGGGACATGAGAACTGTTGGGGGGGACAGTGGCCCTTTTGAGGGAGAGAGGTCCTTGCAGGGTGGTAGTGGTGATGGAATGATGGGGTATAAGGGGTCAACAAAGGCTTGAGTCAGAGAGACTTAGTTAAGTCTCAGTCCAGCCACTTGCAAACTAGATAAACCTGGACACATCTCATGACTTCCCTGAGTGTTGGTTTGCTCATCTGCGAAATATGCAAAACAATAAAACCTGTGTCATAGAATTTTTGTTAAGATCACACAGGACGATTTATGTAACATGCATAACATACTGCCTGGTATGTAGGAAATGTTCCATAAACAGTAAAGATTAGTGATTAGTATTATTGGAGCAAACAGTACAACATTCAGGCACCACTTCACGATCCCGACCACCGAGATGTGAACCCTATGGCGTCACAGTTACAAGAAAGGGGTCAACCTGCAGCCCCCCGCCCCAGTAGGAATTTCCCGCATCTCATGGAGAATTTCAGGCTCCTGAGTTCTATAGGCATTTTCTCCCCTACTCTGAAGTCCCTATTTGTGTCCCTATTCATAAAATGCTAAAACTTATCCTTTGCTAAAATTTTCACTTGGGTGTCTGAAGACATAAATTGTCTCTTAACGTGACCAACCCTATTTTCCCCCTCTGGATATTTATTTTGAACATCAATAAGGTCAAAAGAAAATTAAACTCTGTTGGTACGTGTGTGTTTATGAAAAATGTATTTGTCTGCAAATCAAAACCACAATGAGATATCACTTATCTCCAGTGAGACTGGCCTTTATCAAAAAGTCCCAAAACAATAAATGTTGACGTGGATGCAGAGAGACAGGAACACTCATACACCGTTGGTGGGACTGCAAACTAGTGCAACCTCTGTGGAAAGCAATATGGAGATACCTTAAAGAGATACAAGTAGAGCTTCCATTTGATCCAACAATCCCATTACTGGGCATCTACCCAAAAGAACAAAAGTCGCTCTATGAAAAAGACACCTGCACCCGAATGTTTATAGCAGCACAATTCACAATTGCAAAATGTGGAAACAACCCAAGTGTCCATCAATACATGAGTAGATTAATAAAATGTGGTATATGTATACCATGGAGTACTATTCAGCTTTAAGAAACAATGGTGATATAACACCTCTTGTATACTCCTGGATAGAGTTGGAACGCATTCTACTAAGTGAAGTATCCCAAGAATGGAAAAACAAGCACCACATGTACTCACCTTCAAATTGGTATTAATTGATCAACACATAAGTGCACATATAAGAATAACAACTATTGGATGTCAAGCAGGGGGAAGGGGGGAGGAGGGGACGGGTATTTGCATACACAAAGAGTGCAATGCGCACCATCCAAGGGATGGGCATGCTTGAAACTCGGACTTGGGGGGGAGGGGGAGGCAAGGGCAACATACGTAACCTAAACGTCTGTACCCCCATAATATGCTGAAATTAAAAAAAAAAAAAGAAAAATGTATTTGTCGTATGTACAAAGCAGGCCTCCTTTCTAAGTCCTTGTTCTCCCGTTTGGTAACGTGGGATGATAATTATACCCATCCTAAGGACTTTTCATGAGAATTTAATGAGACAGGGCAGAAAATTACCTGACACACAGTAGATGCTCATAGGATGCTTGTCCCCTTCCTCCTTCTAGAAAGATAAAGGTCATATGGAGGTTAGAACCTGAATGGGGAAACCTTTTTCTTTCAAAATCCCATCCTATGTACTTTCCCCATCCTACACCACTCAAATTAATGGGTCTCAATCAAAAGTAATTAAATATTCTTTACACACGCACACACACATGTTGTTGACACAATCAGACCTCTTTGATGCGTATAAGTGCTAGATAACTAGCGAGAGCTGCCTGCTAGCTGCTCTCATGCGTTTTTAATAAATCTTACACTTGCCCTTCATTGTCTGGAATCACAGTAACACTGCCACCCAGGTCCACTGGGGAAGAGCCAGGTCATTGGGCCATAACCAAAGATCCCCAGGGCAGCCCAACCACAGGATTCCTGCCTTTCAAAGGCCAGATCCTCTCACACCCACCTACAAGCCCTGTTTAGCCAAATAGGTACAGGCACACCTCATCAAGCACTGCCCCCCAGCACACTGAGTTCATATTATGCTGCTAATGTTGGAAATGTTTTTATAAATGTAACAAAGTATTTATATCTATAACTCTTCTGCAGGGTTTCCTAGCCTTGGCACGATTAACATTTGAAGCCAGATGTGGTGAGCTGTCCTGGGCGTTGGAGGATGTTTAACAGAATCCCGGGCCTCTACCTACTAGATGCCGGTAGGTGCCTCCGACCCCTGAGTTGTGACAATCAGAATGTCTCTTGACATTGCCAAGTAAGTGTCCCTGGAGGCAGAATAGCCCCCCTCCCCTGCTCTCCTGAATAGTGTGTTTAAAGGCAGCTTCTCACTTCCTGGTCAGCTGCTCCAGAAAAGGCAGCGCTGTGGTAAGCTCCCAGCCTAGAAGCATCGACAGGCAACTCTGCCTAAATGGCAAATGTCAGTCTGTTCACTCCTTAGAGGCCTCCTTCTGCCATTATTTTGTTTTCTGATGAAAAAATTTGACCACCCAAGAGGGCCAAGGAAGGAGATACCAGGAATAATGCTGATGGACCCACCAAAGTGTAAAAGGAAGACCAAATATGGTGCTGATCCAGTTAGCAGTCTCGTTTCCAAAAGGCACCAGCCACACACACACATTCCCTGCAAGTGGCATGTGCGTATGTGTTGCATTCGCAGGGTATGAAGCATTTGAACAGTCACCGAACACTGCCAATTCTGGGAACTACGCTAAACCAACACAATTAATCGCAATTTCTAGATGAGAAAACTAAGGCTTGAGGAGGTTAAATGACTTGCCCAAGGTCAAGAGCAGCTAGACTTGAATCAACCTAAGGGTCCATCCCTGGATGAATGGACAAAGAAAACGTGGTACGTATACACAATGGAATACTCGGGCTTTTAAAAGAAGGAAATCCTGCCATTTGCAACCACATGGATGAACCTGGAGGAATTATGTTACATGAAACAAGCCAGGCACAGAAAGACAAATACTGCATGATCTCACTTATAAGCTGAATCTAAAAAAGTTGAACTCACAGAAGCAGAGAGTCGAATGGTGGTTACCAGGGTCTGGGAGGTGGGAGGAACTGGGGAGACGTTGGTCAAAGTGAACAGAATTTCAATTAGACAGGAGAAGTAAGTTGTGAGATCTATTAGACAGCATGGTGACTATAGTTTATAACAATTTATAGTATACTTGAAAACTGGTAAGAGAGTAGATTTTAAGTGTTCTTAGCACACACAAAAAAAATGACAATTATTTGAAGGAATGCATATGTTAATTAGCTCGATTTAGCCAGTCCACAATGTATAGATATATCTCAAAACATCATGCTGTACACCACAAATATACAGACACTCCTCAACTTAAGATGGGGTTACATCCTGATAAACCCACTGTAAGTTGAAAATATCATAAGTCAAAAATGCATTTAATACATCTAACCTACTGAACATCATAGCTAGCCTAGCCTACCTAAATATGCAGGCTACTATAAAAACACATTAGTTGGGCAAAATCATCTAACACAAATTCCACTTTATAATAAATTGTCAAACGTCTCATGTAATTTATTGAATATGGTACTGAAAATGAAAAACAGAATGATTATATGGGTACTCCAAGTACTGTTTCTACTGAATACCTATCACTTTCACACCATGGTAAAGTCAAAAACCATAAGAAGAACCATTGTAAGTTGGGGACTGTCTATACACAATTTTTGTTTGTCAATCAAAAATAAATAATAATAAAGAAAAGAAATATATGATAGAATGATTTTTTAAAAAGAATAGCTGGACTCAAGCACAATCCCAGACTTCAAATCTGAGGCTCACTAAATCCCACTAAAGCTTTGTCTTCCAAAAAACTCAGATCTCTAGAGGATCCAGGAAACAAGGCAGATGGGAATATGCTGGGCTTTGGTGACTGGGGTGTGTCTCTAGACAGAATGACCCTCTGGACCAGACAACACTGGGCTCTCCTTCCACACTGTGCTTTTGACATTTCTATATAAATATACTGTGTCTGCTCCTTCTCCAAGTAGGTGGCTTTTTCTGGCTTCCAGACAACGTGTGTGTGTGTTGTGCCCATAATTCCCTGGGAGCATCTAGACGGGATGGAGGCAGCACCTAACACTATGCCTGGCATACTGTGGGTACTTGGTAAATGTTTGTTGAATGAATAAGTGACACCAAGGCATTGGAGCTGGACAGACCAGGGTCTCAGTCCCGGTTCTGAAACTAACTTGCTATCCATGTGACAATGATCAAGGTAGTTTAATCTCACCTACAAAATGGGGGTTCTTATTCTTGTGGGATTCTCATGTGGATTCAAGGGAGGCAATGTGTGAAGAGTATTTTGTGCAGTTCCTGGAAAAGTAAAAGCACTAAAACATGGTAGCTGTTTTTTTATTACTGTTAAAAGGGCTTCCACCCTGGAGTGGCAGTGAAGTGGCCTTGGTAGCCAGGTCATACAAGGCTAGAGGGAGAAAGGCAGAGCTGAGCTTTGGCTGGACACCCTGTTCCAGAGGCAGCCCTACCCTAGAAACAGCAGGAATTAAGAGTGAGTGAGCTGGATGTGGGGCAAGGCCCCTCCCCTAGCTTCCCTTTCTCCCTAAAATGGCAACCCCAGGCTGGGCCACTGTCTGGGTGGCACCATGCGGCTCCAGGCCCCTCCCCCATTTCTCCTGATTCTCACTCTCTGCTGGGAGCTTCCATCAGAGTTAGAACAAGGTTGATGTGGAATGTGGGATCTCAAAGAGTAGACTGGGAATAGAGTGGGGGTGGGGGGCAGAAGCACAAAGAGAGTTCACTTCTTATCTCACAGAATAGGAGTCAATTCAATTCATCAAACATATATTGGGTGCATGCGATGTGTCAGGCGCTGTCCTAGGTGCTGGGCTTAAAGCAGTGAGCCAAAGACCCTGCCTTTGTGGAATTCTAATTCTAGTGGGAGAGAGACAGACAGTGCATAATAGATGGCAAAAGTGCTTAAGAAACAGAAAAAGCTGAGCAGGGGAAGGGGCCTTCAAAGTCCGGGGTAGGCCTGGTGGCGGGCAAGGAGGGATTGAGAAAAGGAGACATGAGCCAGAATCCGAGGGTGAGGGACTTAGCCAAGTCGGCCCTACTTATAGGCAAAGGCTCCTTCCTGGACCACTCTCTTTGTGGAAGCTTAAAATCTTCAAGTGGGGCTGGGCGCGGTGGCTCACGCCTGTAATCCTAGCACTCTGGGAGGCCAAGGCGGGTGGATCGCTCAAGGTCAGGAGTTTGAGACCAGCCTGAGCAAGAGCGAGACCCCGTCTCCACTAAAAAATAGAAAGAAATGATCTGAACAACTAAAAATATATAGAAAAAATTAGCTGGGCATGGTGGCACATGCCTGTAGTCCCAGCTACTCGGGAGGCTGAGGCAGAAGGATTGCTTGAGCCCAGGAGTTTGAGGTTGCTGTGAGCTAGGCTGACGCCATGGCACTCACTCTAGCCCGGGCAACAGAGTGAGACTCTGTCTCAAAAAAAAAAAAAGAAATCTTCAAGTGGAAGTGGGGAGGTGAAGCACAGTGTATTGAGATCATCTGCTAGACATGGGGACAGTAGGAATGTTCCCTAGAGATTCCCTTTTTAAAAATGCATATTATAATATACAAAAAGGGAGAGAGTAAAAATTTGTCAAAATCACCTTCCAGAGATTATCACTGTCAATGTGAACAGCCTTGCACATATAGCTCTCTGCACATATGTTCATGGAGCCATATAGATTCTTACATATAAATGGAATTTTAAATCTCCCAGTAACCCTACAGGCCAGTGGTGCTCAAAGTGTGTCCTCCAGTCCAGCAGCTGCAGCTACAACTGAGAATGTGCTAGTTCCCAGTCCCTCCTGGCCAGAAACTCTGGGGGTAATTTTCACATAGTCTATGTCCTGACGAGCCTTCCAGATGATTCTGGTTCACATTCAAGTTTGAGAACATCTGTGGTAAGGAAAGGAATGTGGTGGTTAACAGATGGGCATACCTGTAGTCAGACACACCTGGGTTCAGGTCCTGGCTCCACCCCCTACGAACCCTGCTTTAGCCTCTCTGAGCTTCAGTTTCTTCTTCTGTAAAATAAGGCTAAGGATTTTATCTACTCCACTGAGCAAATGGTCTGATGTACGTAACGCTTTCAGTATAATTTAGCTCTCAATAGACTCTTGTCAAGCACTCAGAACAGCTTTTGCCACACTCAGAACACACACACACACATACACACACAGAAACATAAACACATACAGGGTGTCATCAACCCCATTACATCAGAAAGAAAACAGGATGAGTGATTTTCCTGTGGTTTAATGGAATAGAAGAGCAGAGAGGCAGGACTGAGAAAATTAAAAAGCAGGTGGGACTCCGGCCCCTACAGAGTCACCTGGAAGGGTTCAAGGACTGATGCTGCTGCGACAAGGATGTCTTAGGAACACGCCAACCTGCCCCACTCCCCCGCTCATCTTGACTGGACGAGCTATTCTGCCTCTTTCCCATTAGCCTTCACCCTTAGAATCAGCCCTGCAGGTAGGAGGATAAAACAGAGCCCGAACCTTTGCCCTGCCTAGGCTGCTGCCTGAAATTTCACCACGGCAATGGTCATTCATCCATCCATCCATTCATTCTACAAGATTGATTGAAAACCTGCAAGCTGGACCATGCTGGGTTTGATTGTTGGTCCTACCATGTTTATTGTTGTTAAAGGGTCCTACCACTTCCTAGCATGACATTAGAACAAGTGCTTCTTTTCTCTGACCTTAGCTTCTTCACGTCATATTGGAAGTCGTAATAGCTACCATGCAGAGTAACTTCAGGGGTAAAACTACTCACATGGTGACAGAAACATGAAAGGAGGACACAAAGAAACTCGTAACCCTGCCTCAGAGGAGTTCGTGGCCATTGTTGTTTTCCTGTTAACGAATATTTGCTGAAAACTAAATGCCAGGCCTATGTTAAGCAGTAAGGCTGCAGAAACAAGTATGATGAGGTCCCTGTTCTTAAGAGTCTTCTTGGTTAAAAAAGAGAAAGTGATTAAGAGCAGCTACTATTTATTGATTTATTTTCTATTTACTGATGTTTCCACTGATTATCTCTACATCCCTTGATAAGCCTAAGATGTGTATATTACACCCCCATTTTACAGTGAAGGAAGTTTAGTGTCAAAGAGACAGGTTGTCTGTCCAAGGTCACATAGCTAAAAAATGATTGGGACAAGTTTGAACCCTGTTCTCAGATTCAAAGCCGGTCCTCCTCTCATCATCATAGGATATGGACTCGAGAATTTACTGTGAAACAGGAGGTGGAAGCCTGAGAGATGTTACTCATTAAATCCTAGTAAATCAGATCTGGAAGTTTGCTCAGAGATGATGGAGTTCAACTCCTTAATTTTACAAATGAAGACACAGAGACCTGGAGAAGTTAAATGTATGTAACATCACACAGTAGCAAGTGGCAGAACGAGTATCTGAATCCACCTGAGTTGGAGTCTCAACTCTAGGATTTTCACCACGTCAGGCTACTCCCAGAAGTGAAAATGTCAACTCCTATGTAGATGCACAAGGCCATGGCTGGGTGGGAAGAGGTACAGAGCAGAGCTACGGTGAACGGCCTCACAATTGTGCCCAGGGCTATCACAGCCCCTGGCATATGGGGCAAACAAGGGGAAGGTGATGGGTTTGGCCTCCTTCAACCACTTTCTCTCCTCAGACCCTAGCAAAATCCTCTTGCCAGGTGTATGCTGTCTTCCTGCAGGAAAGGACATTTGTCAAGCCTCCTTCCAGTGATGGTTTTACAACTTAAAACCTCATCAGTATGAGATGTTTTTCTATGGAGGCTGCAGAGGCAACAGCAACAACTTTTTGAAAAAAGGATGTGAGAAAGTCTGCAAGGTCATCTGATTTCCTAATAAGAACACAGCCTTCCATGGAGTCAGGATTGTTCTAGGGCCATAGAAGGCATTTTTGTGAACAAGAGATGCATTCCTCCACCCCCAAATTTATTCTCCCTGCTGTGTTCATAAAATGACTTCATCTCTGTGCCTGAAATTATACAAATGTTGCAATCATGTTTAAAATCTCAAGACCTTCTTTTTAAAATACATGCATATGTACAAATACACTGGGGAAATTTAGAGAAGCCATTCACACCTTAGTACAAATTACTACATAGCCCATCGGAAGAAAATGTTTTGAAAGACATGGAGGTGAATTTGGAAATCTGGGGCATGGTATTAGAAGGGCTTACATTGGACAAGGAGGAAATTTCTGGAATCCTATGAAAAAGGAGACAAAGAAACATCAGAAATGAGGAAAGAAAGGGAAATGGGGGGAGAAACTGAAAATGTTAAGGCCACTTTTAATAAAAGTTAGTTAATTTTTATGAAACCCCTTATCTATTAAGGGTAAACCACATCTTCCTGCCACGGGCTATGTGAGGAGAGGAGCAAAGAGCCCTGGTCCTGGAGTCCCTTGGTTTGCCTTAAGCAACACCAATTGCAACTTGGAGGGAGAGGAGAAAAACACAGGGATCATCTGGTTCGTTCATTTCAAGAGGAAGAAACAAAGCCCAAAGATGGGCAAGGATCCTTTAAAATCACAGAGTGGAAATGAAACAGAGGCATCCTTGACACTCCAAACTGCCCTTCCCACTGCACTGCAATGCCCACCCCCTGTAATTTTCCCAGACTTCATCTGGGAGGGAGGACAGAACTGAAGATGGAGCACTCAGGTGGGCACTCTCCTTTATCTACCATTCTGATTCAGGGTCCTCCCCTCAAGTCCAAGCCAGCTGCTTGCCATTGCTCAAAGAGCAAGTGCCATCTATTGTGCCAGGCACTGAGGTAAGCTCTTCACAACCAGCACAAATATACCTCAGAGTGACTCTGAAAATCAGATTGGAGCCATGCTACTCAAAATGTGGTCCAAGGACCAGCAGCCTCTAGGTCACCTGAGAAATGCAGAATTTCATAACTGGCATTGTAACAAGATTCTTGAGTAATTCATGGGCACATTCAAGTTTAGGAAACAGTGGTAGATGTGGAAGAAAGGATAAAACAAATCAGGAATGTTTCCAAGGCCACACAGCTGGAAAGCGACAGAGCTGGTCATTGAGCCCATGTTGGTTCATTTCCAAAGTCCATGGTCATAACTGCTATGCCGCACTCCTTCATGGATCTCAGAATTTCCCCCATGGGGCTGATTTCCAGTGAACAGTTTTATTAAAAGACTTTTAAAACACCAAGTTATGTTGCCAAGACAACTAACACACCCCACCCTTTTCTCATCTGGCTGAAAGAGGGACCAGGCAGGGCCACTGTGAGAATGGGTGGCCAATTGGAAAACACTGAAAACTGGATGCTTGGATCTTCTCTGGGAAGAATCAGAGGCAGAATTGTAAATGTCTTCCATGGACACTGTTCTTTTTCCAGCCTGGAGAGCCAAAGTCATGCCAGCCTACAGAGGATTCCACAAAGGAGAGACTGACTGCCGCATTCCTAGATCCTAGGCTACATCCCACCCACCCCCAAGTTCCCTTCCCCTTCTCAACATCTCACTGTGGGTAATATTCTCCATGGCAAATGCTAATCAGATATTCTGCCTCACCATTATGTCCTAAAAATTCCTCAATTGTTCAACATCTAAATCACCAGCTCCGAGCTCTATCTCCCACCCATGAAAGCATCAGAACTCTCTGGCCTTGGGATTCAGGAAAAGAAATCATTGTCTCAGTAATCCTAAAGTCTGCATTAACCACCCCCCCATCTCATGTCTAAAACTACATCACTGTATCAACACTCAACAGCACCCTACAGCTCCAGACAAGACATATATCTTCAGAGTGGGTGGAAGGCAAGGCAGTCCATACACCCACGTGTCACTTACCCACTATTCACCCACCCTCTGGTGGTCCACAATCGTCACCCATTTTTCACAACTGAAATCACCTCCTAACTGGTCTCAGGGCTTCTGCCCTTGCCCCCTGCAGTTTATTCTACAGAACAGCCAGAAGGATCCTTTTATGCCCTGGTACTCCTCTAGTCACAATCCTTTGATGGCTTCCCAGCTAACTCAGAGAAAAAGCCAAAACCCATACAAGTACATAGTCCCCCCCCATCATTTGCAGTTTCACTTTCCACAGTTTCAGTTACCTGCAGCCCAAAAACATTATATAGAAAACAATAGAAATAAGTAATCTGTAAGTTTTGAGCTGCACACTGTTCTCAATAGCATGATGAAATTTCTTGCACGGGGATGTGAATCATCCCTTTGTCCAGAGTATCCACCCTGTGCACACTCCCCACCCGCTAGTCACTTAGAAGCCAGTTCAGTTATTAGATTGACCGTCGCCCTTATTTTACTTTATAATGGCCCCAAAGGCACAAGAGTAGTGATGCTGGCATATTATCATAATTATTCTATTTTATTATTAGTTATTATTGTTAATCTCTTACTGTACCTAATTTATTAATTAGACTTTACCATAGGGGTGTATAGGGGAAAAAACATAATATTAATATATAAAGGGTTCAGTACTATCAGGTTTCAGGTATCCACTGCGGCTCTTGGAACGTATGCCCACAGGTAAGGGGAGGGGACACCGAACTTGCCTCAGGTTCCCACTGGTGGGCCTCCAGTAGATGCTGTGGGACAGCACCCATATTCCCCTTCAGGAACGTACCCATTCCCCCAGCTACTGGGAGTTTGGTATTACAGCTGTCGGTTCTCGCTGAGTCCCTCTACTCCTCTACGGAAGCCAGGAGTCCAGATCCTACCTCTCCTTGCTCACTGGGGGCTTGAGTGTGAGCATGTGACATGGACTCAGCCAATCAGATGCTCCCTCCCTGGACTTTGGCTTGGAGGGTGCGATGCAAAGATCCAACAACTGTTGAGAAAGTTTTTACAGTGGGGGTGGGGATGGGGGTGGTGGAAGTCTAGGGGTCACAGAGCATTAAGTGCCTGGCAGTGGCAGTGCCATTTATAGCAAGGATGAAACTCTGCTACAAACTCAGATATGCTGAAAATGTAAGTCTCTAATATATATATATATATACACATATATATATGTTTGAAAAATTGGCCTGAATTTCATTTTGAGCTCCCATTTAACCAGGTAATGAAAATTGATCTCTTTCATTTCGTTGTTTTTGGCCACTATCTCCCCCCAAAGTGTGCTTCTACATTCCAATGCACTTCCTTAATTCCAATGCATCCAATGCTTGATCCTTCATATATACACACTTTTTTTTTTTTTGAGACAGAGTCTCACTTTGTTGCCTGGGCTAGAGTGAGTGCCGTGGCGTCAGCCTAGCTCACAGCAACCTCAGATTCCTGGGCTCAAGCAATCCTACTGCCTCAGCCTCCCAAGTAGCTGGGACTACAGGCATGTGCTACCACGCCCGGCTAATTTTTTTCTATATATTTTTAGCTGTCCAATTAATTTCTTTCTATTTTTGGTAGAGACAGGGTCTCGCTCTTGCTCAGGCTGATCTCGAACTCCTGAGCTCAAACAATCGGCCCGCCTCGGCCTCCCAGAGTGCTAGGATTACAGGCGTGAGCCACCGCGCCCGGCCTATACACACTTTTTCATTCCTGCTGAGTCTTCAGATATTTTTCCGGCAGGTAACTACTGCATCCTTCTCATCTAAGGGAGCTCACTCAGTGACTTGTGTTCTCTGAATGCTGCTCCCTAGAACTGAAGAAATACCCGGCTGCTCTGCACCACCTGGGCAATAGGAAATTCAGTGGGACTCTAAAATCCCTGTACTGGTCACCCCATGTACCAATTTCTGAACTACCCTGAGAGAGTTCTCAGTTCCAACTGTCCCCTGGTTTGTGGAAGTATACCCTGGCTATGATCACTTCTCTTAATTCTCAAATATACCTGGTACTCTAACCACCATCGATATCCCTTGGTTCCCTTCTAACTCTCTTCCTTAAACTTCCAATGGGGAGAATTTTATACACCTGCTGGAGAAGACAGAAGGGAGCAGGGGGTGGTAAAACCTGGTTCTGATTTACCATATGTTCTTCTCTTTTGCACCTTCTCTTTTGAACTCTACAGGCCAAGAATTTAAATATTTTGTGAATTACATTCTGCTGTACTGTCCCTTCTCTAGCCATGAAGTAGAATGCCCAGCTAGTAGGGTGAGGGAAAGATCAAAGAGAAGTAGACCTACAGGGATAAAGCTTCAATTAGCATCTCAAAGTAATATTCCTCTGCATATGCCTTTAATTACTTTTTTTTATGTATACAAAAAATCATACAGTACTATTTTCTACCAGGATGTTTTTCTACCATGATTTTTATATAGCATTATATTATAAACATTTTTCCCAGGTCAATGAATATTCCTCAGTGTCATTGTTAATGGCTATATAATATTCTAACCTACAGAGCATTGGAATTTACATAGTTTACTTAGCTTCCAATTATTCATTATTGTAAAATCGCACAAGGTTAAACACAAACATGGTGTTTAAACATACTTTAAAAATAACATCTTCTGATCCTGGGAAGGAACAAATTGCAAAACAGAAGTCAGCTCTGTTCCAGTGGGTGCAGCCCAGACATACCCCATTCTGTACCCCCAGGGCAGGAATTTAGGGGAACTCTCACAGGGGGAGAGGGCAGAGGCAGTCCACAAGGACCACAGGAGCTGGTACAGGGAATCCTCCCCTAATAGGATTCATTTTTGCCTAGGCTCATCACCTTGGCTGAATGTGTAAGAACACACTGCAGGGCTGGATTCTCCCCAGGACAATCCCTGAAATCCTTCATCTCCACTCTCCATTTGTGTTGGGACAAAACAATTGCAGCCTCTCCTCTTCCTGAATGAGTTCTGAAGAAATGAAAAGAAAGACAGAGAGGAAACTGACATGTAAAATTTAGTAGACTCCAA